TCCCTAAAGAGAGTAGGATATTTGCAGGCCCTGTCAGTTGCCTCCTCCTGCTTAGAGTTTGCCCCAGTTGTGGTCAAATTCTTCTCACACCTGAGACTGGGATGTGTGCCTAAAGTACCAACGAATGTACCTAATGTTGCCCTGTGAGGGCTCTTGAGATGTATGTAATCAGATCTTCCCAGTGGAGGAAGTCTGACTAGTTGCTGGAATGCTTCGGGTCACCCAGGAAGGGCTCCCAAGTCAAGGCAATCTCTTATGCAATCTCAATCTCATAAACAGCTTATGTGGTTTTGACAACACATTTTTCAGCATTGTCTTGAACCCATGTCGAAACAGTGCTACATGGTGGACTGCAAAGAAAAAGTCTGCTGATGATTTCAAGAGAAAACAGTTAGACTGGGAAATATTACTTGTGTCTTGTATCCTGTCAAGGGAAAATTATTATTTTGTCTTACCAAATACTCATTTGTCTTTCTTATAGTTGTGAGAGAAGATGATGTTCTGTTGGTGTACTCTAGTGCTGTTGACTCTGGTCCCAGTGGTTACAGGTGACAATTCTGTAGTTAAAATCAAACTAACTAAGAAGGGACTTGATTTAGGTAAGTGTGAGCAAAATATAAATGTGCCCTGTAATATTTCAAATAAATCTGAAAGTATGACTGTGGTAGAGGGTATGCACTGTCCGCAATGGTTCATATAATGACATTGCAATGATGTAACGTCACATCCTTTTATGCTGCTCTCATAGTGATATGCTGTGAGTCAGCAGTGGTACTGCTGTCATCAAAATGCAGTTTTATTAACTCTTTACCCACGGTTGACGGCATTTACCATAATTTATGACAATGTGTTGACTGAATTTTCAGGCAATCCATTTTTTCACTGTCATACCATAAGGGAGCACTATTACACATTTTCTGAAATAGTACCTGATTCAATCAAGGAAGAATTAGAAACAAGCCATAGAAGCATTGCTTACACACATGTAAGCTAATGTGATCTTTAAACATAAAACAGCATGAAAATCAAAACTGCCTTAAGCTACTAAGTAAAATGTCAAACCCACAAAGTGGTAAGAGACAACACAAGCTTTAGATCTACTCAATCTATGTGTTGATCATCTTTCGAATCCGAGTCCAGGTAGTCTTTGACAAAAACGCAATTTTCTAAGGATTTGATTTTATGAAACGTATCCACATTTAAGTGTTTATAAGAAAGAATGTCATTCTCTTGTCTTTTTTTGTATAGGCCTATTGTATTTTCATATAAACATTCAACAAAATATTTTGGGCACTATGAATTTTTTGTGAAAATTATAAAAAAATGCTGTCAGAGAGACTGGTAACTTCAAAAAAAGAAAAAAACCACAAGTGGAGAAAGAAAAAAAAATGTAATACCAAAATACAAATAACTAAAAAATTGGAGAACAAAACACTTAACTGGACTGTGGACACCAACATCACAGTCTTTGAAGGACAAGACCTGACAACCAACACAGGAAACAATAGTGTTTATACAGTGCATCCGGAAAGTATTCACAGCGCTTCACTTTTTCCATTCAACAAACAATACCCCATAATGACAACATGAAAGAAGTTTGTTTGATTTTTGTTTGTTTGTTTGTTTGATGTTTGCAAATTTATTAATATAATCACATAGTATTCACAGCCTTTACCATTACACTTAAAATTGAGCTCAGGTTTATCCTGTTTCCACTGATCTGATCATCCTTGAGGTGTTTCTACAACTTGATTGGAGTCCACCTGTGGTAAATTCAGTTGATTGGACATGATTTGGAAAGGCACACACCTGTCTACAGTGGTGTGAATAAGTGTTGGCACCCATGCTAAAGTTGCCTAAAAAGAGGAATAAAAAATCATCTTTTGAATATTGATCTTAATTTTTTAATTAGAAAAATGAGGAAAACTCCAACCTTTAAGGACACCAATTTTCTTTGTGAATGAATAATGTGTCATAAATAAATAAATGTTTTTCCTTAAAATACAGGGTGCATAAGTCAGGACACCCCTATGTTAAATTCCCGTAGAGTCAGGCAGATTTTTATTTTTAAAAGCCAGTTATTTCATGGATCCAGGATAATATGCATCCTGATAAAGTTCCCTTGGCCTTCGGAATTAAAATATCCCCACATCATCACACACCTTCCACCACACCTAGAGATTGGCATGGTTTTACTTCAGTTAGCCTAATAGCTGGTTTGATTTGCATTGAAAGATGATCTTATGGAAAGTACCCCATGCCAATCTCTAGAGGTGTTTCTCAATGTCAAGGATACTTCCTTGGCAGGACGGGTCCTTCCAAGTCATTTCCTTCAGAGGCTAGGCAAGGGTCCTCTTTAGCATTCGGAGAACACGTAAATGGAACAGGCTAGCAAGTGCACGTCATTGCGTCATTAATGTCATGAGAGACGTCGTTTGCCCCCCATGCCCTCGCCCTCGCATAGTGAAAGGTCCGCTTCGGTGCTGCAAAAATCATAGTGCTGGTGTACTGCACTGTTTGTTGACAGTCCTTATTTTGTCTTGTCAGTCCTCATAGAAATAAATAAATAAATAAAGTATAAGGGATAATGTATAACCAGGCGGTTGTTATAGTGAATACAACCCCGCAAACTCTAAAGCACAGGGGTCTTGATTGAATCAGCCTGAAGGGGTTGTACCTACCAAACGGCTACCTACCAAATAATTTGACACAAAATATTTATTTAAAAAGGAGTTTATTAATTCAAAAACGATTATATTACCGGAGTGAACAGAACAACTAGCACTACGTCCATAGCAACATGATCTAGCTGTTAAAACACATGCAATGGTATGTGACCAACAAAAAAGGCTATAACGTTATATGAAGTAAAAATTAAAAAGTTAATCACCAGTAAAAGGGAACAGCTTTAAATCCCCTCAGCAAATTTGAGCCGATATGTTAAATAGTTTAACAAACATTAAATAAATGGCTAAACTGAAATTATACTTGCTTACATTTGAAAGCATATTGCCGTTATCACTCCGACTCCGCTAACGGTCGACATTTTTTTATTTTTTGAACAAGATAGCAAAGCTGCCCCAGATAGCAAACTAACATTGAATCAACGTGGAAATATGACATCGAAACAACGTTGATCTGACATTGTTTTGCTCATCGAATTAACGTTGAACAAACGTCATTCTTTCAAAACTAAGGAAAATCAACTTGAAATCAACGCGTTGTTTCAACGTTATGAAAGCAAACCAATTTTCGATTTTCATTTAGCTTTGAAGAATGCCGCGTCTGACGTTGGTTCAACGTTAATTCGATGAGCAAAATCAACATTGTTTCAATGTCATGAGAGACGTCGTTTCCACGTTGATTCGATGTCAGTTTGCTATCTGGGGCGCATAGGATTGTGGGTGATTTAAGAGCGCGAAGGCTACACATATGCATCCTTTCCTGTGTATGGGATATTTTCCGAACGAAGGACTCAGTCCTTGGTTGAAATTCTGAGGATCCTCGACATTGGAACAGTCCTTCGACGGACGTCGATGACGTAGCATCCTCGAAATTCCTGCTTCCGAGGATCCTTCCTTGACATTGAGAAACGCCTTAGGTGTGGTGGAAGGTGTGTGATGATGTGGGGATATTTTAATTCCAAAGGCCAAGGGAACTTTATTAGGATGCATATATATAAATTTATATATATATATAAATTTGCATTTATATATATATAAATTTGCAAAGATTTCAAAGAAACTTCTGTCACATTGTCATTATGGTGTATTGTTTGTAGAATTGATAAAAATAATTAATTGAATCCATTTTGGAATAAGACAAACGTGAAGTGAAGCGCTGTGAATAATTTCTGGATGCACTGTGTACACAGAGGTACAGAATCAGGGAAGTAATAAACAAGAAAACTACAAAATAGATCAGGAAACAAATAATAACGTCTCGGGTTACACATGTAAACATGGTTCCCTTTTCTTCTTCTTACACTTGTGGTGTTCCTGTTAATTTTTTTTAATATGCTTATAAATCTCTCATTACTCTATATTGTAATATAAGACAAGGAAGACGAATGAGAATATAAGATATTACACACGGTTTATTAAAACAACACAGAACAAGATGGGTAACTGTCACGGATTGCTCTGACTCTGAGACTTTAGTAACACACACACTGATACATGCACACTCGCACTACCTCACACATGCATGTACACAAAAATATTGAATCCAGTATTTGGTTAAAATATAGCATAATGAGAGATTTAAAAGATTTTTTTTAAACAAACATTAAACATTAAAAACAATAATGTGATGCACTTGTTCTGCACTTGTTCTTCTTGCTTGTGATCTATTTCATTTAAAAAAATCTTATTTCTGAAGAAGAGTCTTAAGACAGCATACACTAAAAAAAATGATATGTTGGCTTTAATTAATTTTTATTTGTCAACAGGTTCCACATAACTGGATTACGTTTAACAAACATAATTTGTTTATGTAACTTCAACATAATGGAATTGTGTAATTTTAAATTACCCAATTTAAGTAGTCTCAACGTGAATTTTTAAAGGCTTCCTGACATGATTCAAAGGCATTTTATTATATTCATTCATCCATTTATATTTCATTTGATTCAGTGACATTTAATTAAATTGATAGACTTTAACTAGCTATTTGCTAGCAGAAGCATATATTAGCATCTTGAATGCTAAGATTTACATGCTCTTTCATTCAATGCAATTGAAAATAATGAAGTCAATCAGTGACAGACAAACAAAATCTCTTCTCCACAATGGTAAACCACTGTAATTTAAATGATTTAATATTTCCAATTTTCTAAATTTCTCAACAAAACCCCCCCCATAAAATATCACTTAATTTTAACATTTATTCACTCTTAATTCAAACATATGCAAAGCATGCTGGGAACAAAAAGCACTGACCAGTTTCAGTTAATGCTACACAAATCAATCATGTAATCCAACACAAACGGATTAAGTAAACTTAAATTGTAGATATATTTAAGCAGATTGAACACAATAAAATTAAGTTCAGGCAAAACGGCAGTCGGCTCTCACTATACGGCCACCCTCTGGATGTACAGTACACATTTTTTTTTACTTAACGTAAATGGTTTGTGTTTAGACAACACATTAGGATTTTAAGCTGAGACACAATTACACAGACCTTAATAGAAAAAAAACATTTAAAGTCAAAAAACACAATTATTATAAGTAAACTATATATTATGTAAAGTGCACAACCTCCCTAGTTATTTTTTTTAGTGTAGTTTTCTATATAATCTTCAATCCTTATTTATTTAGTGTTGCCATGGATATTACCCCATATGAACATTAAATGACTATTATGACTATTAAAATCTCCCATGAATATAAATGGAGAAGGGAGTTATATTTGTAATAATATTCTATTTTGTGACTTTTGTGACTAAAATCTTTATAATATGTAGTTCAATAATCGAAGCACTACATGGATATGGAGATCACATGTACAGTAGGCTACACATTTCTATTGAACAACAATATAGATCCCAGAAGGGTTTGCATCTTCCATGTCATATAAAAAGAAAGGAACAGATCCAAAACCCTCATCTGTAAGTATAAGCAGTACAAAAGTTTGCTTGTTTTCACAGTTGCAAAAATGATCATTGAGATGCTCAAACAGCAGGATTTTCAAGCCCTAACTCTTTCAACTCCCTTTCAGCAGTATTCAGTTACAGGGTGAGACCAGTGTTCCTACAATATCCTTCTGCTAATTTTTTTTTTTTTTTTTTTTTTTTTACTGTATAGTATATTATTACTTCATAGAATTGTATATAAATGTATTTTTTATAGCATATTTTATATTAAAATGTGCATATTTTCTTGACAGAATGAAGATAGAATCCAACCTTCATTCGGTGCAGGAGTTTGTGGAAAAAAGTGGGATCACTACAACAATAAAAAACTTTCACATGACTGGAAAGCTGGTAAATGGGTTAGTATAATGTTCAAATCACAACTTTTCATCAAAGAAATCATTAGAAAAAGAATAGTAGTAACAATCTGGTAAAATTCTTCACACAATTCTATTTTTTATAAGAACACAATGAACAGAAAAAACAAACAAACAAACATTTGTTTGCTTAATTTAACAGATGTGAAAATTGTATTGGTTAATGTGGCAGGTGCAAACTTTTTGAATGTCCATGTTATTTTCAGGGTATCAGCACTTCCAATTTAATACTTTTTTTAATACTTTTATTATATAAAACTGCCTTGTCATTTTGGTTGTGTCCAGGATACATCAACTATATAAAATACTAGTATTAAACCTACTTCTGAACCTGGTGGTTCAAGCTCTATACAACTTAGTTGCCTGGCACTGACCTTTACACTGATCTTTACAAATAGTGGCTTTAATGTGAATATGCATTTTTTTCAAAGTATCTGGAGCCAACACAGTGCCTGTTCAGCAGCCTCAACAAGTGTGTGGAAAGACACATATACACTTTCAAAAAATGCTAGGTTGTTTTAACCCAATTTTGGGTCAAATATGGACAAACCCAGACGTTGGGTTACATTTATAAATTGCATTTTTTAATCCAACAATTGGGTTTGTCCATATTTGACCCAAAATTGTGTTAAAACAACCTAGCATTTTTTAGAGTGTATAGAGGATAATACACAGTGAGTTAAACGAGGCTTCAGAAGAGGAAATAATGCCCTGAACTCTATTCCACAGGCAAAAAAATTATCCGCTTGACGTGAATGTGGAAGAACTGGGCATTACTGTCACTCTTCCAGTCAAAGTTGATGAAACTGGCCACCTGACACTCAGCAGTGAAAACTGTAAAGCAAAACTTGGAAATTACCAAATCGAACGTACCGGGTAATTTTGTTCAGCACACCTCATCACAAAAAGCAGCTGGCTAATAAATGGCTAAATCAGGATTTGTGTGTTCAATAATAAAATATACATTTATTAGGGGTTGTAAGTTCTGCAAATATCACATAACATTTAAAAAGAGACCCATTTATTCTGGTTTATGTTCCCAGAGGACATGTCACAGAATTTTAAACAAATTAGCTTACAGCTTATGAGAACTAACTAGCCTTATGAGAACTTTAAAATATTGCATTTACAGATCGCCGGAGCTTGATGTATGGAAAGCTGTACTCTCTGTGATAAAATTTGTATTTCCAGGGAAACTAAACAATCAGGTGAGACACTCACAGAACATTCACTGTTCACAACAGAAACCAAGAGTCTCTTTGCATGTCAATATTAACTATCTGCTGTTTCAGGTCTGTTCCAAGGTGACAACCTTCCTTAACACCAGGCTGACAAACATTTACGGTACTATGAATAATAAACATTATTAACCTGACTGTGATGATGACAAAAATCATTTCATGACAGCATTCATTACATCCCCAAAAATGTGTTTAATTTTAGCCTACGTACGTGAAAATTCTGGGGTTGATGTCTCGCTGGAGCCTACTACTGTCATCTCTAGTGACAGGATTGAGGTAAATTTTGTAGCCCTGAACGGACGGAAGAAACGACGACTCCTTGAAGAAACAAAATACTCTCCTGAGAATTAACATGTGAGCACTCTCTTGCACAAGTAACAACACCATCCGAGACGAACCACATCGAGCAGTTCACATCACACCTCACCCTTACAGCCTCCTCATCCCATCCCTTCTCTCCGCGTGCTGGGATAACCTGAAATACACCCACAAATCTATATGGTTTAATGTGAACAATTATCATACAACACTATTCATGTTTGGTATTATTTGAAAATATCTCAGTGCGACTGGTACAACGGCATCCTCCCCACACAAGCAAACCAAAAGATAATAAAGATATCTACGGTAACACTTTAGAATACTGTATCTTACTTACTGCAGAATTAATAAGGAATTATTGACGAACTAATAGGTAATTCTTCATTAACTACTTCTTCACTACTGTTAACTATACTAAGGAAGATGTGTTAACTAATAAGTAGCCTATGTAATATAATTTTATGATTGTGTTAAGTATCAGTTAGTTAATCAATAACTAATGAATTCTGTCATACCTCCTGAAGAACTATTAATTATCTATTAATTAAGGTTCAAGAAAAATAATTAAGAAGTAACTACTGAACAGTCATGCAAAACTAACCTCAGATTATTTGTATATTTTATATACAGTACTGTGTGTGTCTGTTTTCCTCAGCATAGAATGCCACTGAGTAAATTCATGTATTTGAGGCAACGACTGAGGGAAACTGAAAATATAGGGAACTTATTAGTAATTAATAAATAATTGTTAGATAGTCCTTCAGGAATTTCTTAGAAGCTGGAACAGTATTCTAAAGTGACAATATAGGGAACCCATTAGTAATTAATAAAGAATTATCAAATAATTATCTAGGAATTAGGCTACTTATAACCTGAAACAGTCTTGTAAAGTAAAAATATAAGGAACTTATTAGTAATTAATAAATAATTATTAGATAGTCCTTCAGGAATTACTTAGAACCTGAAACAGTATTCTAAAGTGACAATATAGGGAACCCATTAGAAATTAATAAAGAATTACCACATACTTCTGACTCAAATCAAACTTACTGTAAAAAAAATATATATATATAAATACTTAATCATCAAAATCTTAGTCAAATACATGATAATTATTTGTTTACATGATATCTTCCTTTATTTCAGATGAGAACATTTTTTAATACAGCAATTTTTTTTATTTTGTTTTAACATGTATAATACTGCCTACATTTAAACTCATTTAACAAACATTTTAGAATAAAAAAAAATACTTGACTCCATAACCTGCCCATAACAGTGCACAGCTCTGAGAACAGATTTTAACATCTGATGTAAATAGATTTAGCTAGCTATAGGGTAACTGACATTTTGTCCTTGTATGTTGCCTTGCATAAAACAAAATGATTTACCGCCCAGTAATGATTTTATGGATTAAATAAAACGTACACAAATCTGTATTTCGCTAAAGAAATGCTCCAAATCGGCGGCGCTGAGAACTCTCCAGAGGAGGATGCAAATGCCTGCCCTCTTGCGTCACCAAATCACTGTCAAGTCAAGTCACCTTTATTTCTATAGCGCTTTTTACAATACAAATTGTTTCAAAGCAGCTTCACATATATAACAGAAAAACAATGTTATAATAGTATTGTTAAATTCAAAATTAAATGTTAAATGTCACCAACTAAGCAAGCCAAAAACCAATGGCGACAAAGGCGAAGAGAAGTGAAAAAGGCAACAGTGGCAAGGAACCAAAACTCCATCAGGTGACAGAATGGAGGAAAAAACCTTGGGAGAACCCAGGCTCAGTGTATGTGGCTACCGCGATATTGAATAGTGCAAAATAATTTTAAAATGTATAAGAACTAAGTATAATAAGTATAAGTATAATATTTTTCTAATGAAATAAAAAGTTTGCTTATTTGCAGAGCCTATAGGTAAATGTCTGCACTTATCTTTCTTATTAGTGCTGAAGAATGACAAACTGACTACTGTGTATGACTGTTAATTAGTAGTTACTTCATAGTTATTTTTCTTGAACCTTAATTAATAGATAATTAATAGTAGTTCTTCAAGGAATTCATTAGCTATTGATTAACTAACTGATACTTAACACAATCATAAAATTATATTACATACTGATTAGTTAACACATCTTCCTTAGTAGTTAACAGTAGTGAGTTAAGTGTTAATGAAGAATTACCTATTAGTTCTTCATTAATTCCTTATTAGTTATGCAGTAAGTAAGATACAGTATTCTAAAGTGTTACCATATCTTCTTTACAGAAGCATTGTTAGCACATGTTTTCATTTGAAAGAGGTTTCTGTCTTGCTGATTATTTAAAGAGGCTCAGTGTGATTTTGTAGTCAGATCAGTCCATAATTGGATGCTTTGCATTATATATTTTATCGAATGTCAGGTGAGCATCTTTTACTCTTTATCTCTGAGCATTTGATGTTATTGTATTGATTATCTTTGACTTGATTATGTAATTGGCATGATACATTTACCTGACTAATAATACATTGTCACATTTGCATTTATTCTGACTCACTCTGAAATTATTAAATTTATGTTGTTACTGCAAAGCTGCGTGTATACATACTAGCAGTGTTGGGCATGTTAATTAAAAATTAATTAGTCATATTTACTAGTTACTTCTCACAAATAACAACTAAGTTAGTACCTGAATTATGCAACTAATTATCTGGGAAAGTAACTATTGAGTTACTTTAAAAAAAAAAAGTTAAAATATGTCAAATAACTTGGAAGCCCCGAATATTAAATATGTTAAATGAATGAAATGGACACTATAGAATAAATTATTATTATAAAACATTGTACACTATTTTAATGTTACTGTGGGACAATGCAAGAGACACCTATTAAATTCAATATATATTGTCAACATTATACTAGAGTGGAATGAATAAAACACAACATAAGCAGAGTGTGCGCGCTTTGTGGACCCACCAATAGGCGCACATTACTACCGCACTCTTTAAATAACAAAAGAAACATTACGCCAATGACTTTAGACCAGTTCCATTTTTTTATTGTTCCATAAAACGAGATAAGAAAATAAGCCAGGCTTATATTTTTGAGTCAGACTTATTGTCTGTGAATTCTGTTTCATAAAGCAAACTTAAAGGGTTAGTTCACCCAAAAATGAAAATTAAGTCATTAATTACTCACCCCCATGCTGTACCAACCCCGTAAGACCTTCGTTCGTCTTCGGAACACAAATGAAGATATTTTTGATTAAATTTGAGAGCTGTATAACTACCACATTGGCTGCCTAAGGGACTGGCTCTTAACGGCCCAGAAAGTCAATGAAGAAAATGTTTAAATATCCCAAGTGACTACCGTGGATCAACTATAAGTTTATCAAGCGACGAGAATACTTTTAGTGCGAAAAAACAAACAAAAATAACAACTTTATTCGACTATTCCTTTTCTTTCTTGTTGGCCTGAAACGAGACTTCAAGAGATTTCCACGACGCACGCGCGAGAATTGCGATCTCCTTCAACTACTGTACTTCAGTTCACTTCTCGCGCATGTGTCGTCTACTCCACAGACCTGAAACATATCTATATTGAAATGTCAACTTGTAAATAGAACGATTCAAAACGAAAGAAAACGTAATGCTCTCTGCTTATGAAATGTGTGGGTTTCTCTCTTGCGCACGCACTATGCGAAGATCGTGCAGCATCGTCAAATTCATCTTTAGTAAACAATTAAAATGTCTCCTTGCTATATTTGTTCTTTGTGACAGCGGCAGCGCCGCTGCTTAGGCTAAAGCATTAAGTTGCAAGTTACAAGCTCACCACCGCATCAAAAACATGATTGCGTGATAAAAACATGAAAAATACCTAAACATGGCCTAACTGTTTAGAAAAAAAAAAAACACAGAAAGAATAGCCTAATGCGCATACATCCATCTCTTTTGTTTGAAATGGAAAAAAATATAGCTGCTAGACCTATCTAAAAAAAAAAAAAAAAAAAAAAAAAAAAAAAGGTTCGACTATCAGTCGACCATGGCAAAATCTAACAAATCAGATTCGACTATGAAAATCCTTTGTCGAAAACAGCCCTTGTAACCACTATCAGTCCAACAATGAAAACTTTAAAAATAAATGTAATACATTCGAACAGACAAAAAGTGAAACAAATGTAAAGAAGTAAAGGTAGGCCTATTTGTTTAGTTGGTGTGATTTTTGTAATTAATCAATTAAATGTTTATAAATAGGGAGCTCCACCCATATGTGTAGGAGGATGCATAGTCATAGCGTGTCCTTTCATTGAAGAGGTGGTGGATGAGGGAGCGATAATCATACGCAGGGCGTTTCAAACATAGACATCATATAGGTAGACGCCCTATACGCACAACGGGCACATCCAGGAACTTAACTGTCAATTTTGTCCCCGCCCCCTTTTGGGGGAAACAAACTAGACTCCCCATAGACTTCAATACAAAAGAACGGCAAAAACCAACGTCCGTACACAGCCGACAGGCGTAATTAACTTAAGAAATCGCTTATATAAAACCTGTCAGGTAATTATATGTCCACCCTGCCTGCCATAGACCGTAAAAGATACATACACAAACTTAATTTGGTCAATTTAAAAACATGTCCCTTTGTTATTTATTCTCCCAGCGTCAAATTGGTGTAACAACCCCACTGCTGATATTTGACAAAAATATTATTTAAAAAAGAAAGGGGCAGAAATAGGACAAAAGCACTTGGTCCAGGTGGTCCAACGGTTCAGGGTTTTACAAATCTGTCTTGCATCAGACTATACTTCTGGCTCTACCATGATCAAACAATCCAAGATCATGGTAAATCGTTAACAATCAAATCCAGCTAAATAAATTAGCGGCGTACGAAGGACTGAAGCCTTGGGACTGACAGTAGCAATGTTCAGCATTAACAATATAAGCAAACCACACAATATATACAAATTAAACTAAATTCTGAGACAATTTTTGCATTATCAAAATGTGGAAACTCCACACATGTGTTTGTTTTTCCACCCAAACCTCAAACACACAGCCAGTCAGAGATGCACATCGATGGCTTTTGGTTTCATCTGTTCATAAAGATATCATCAGATGTTTTCTTTAAGCATTAGTCTTAGCAATGGCATTTTAGTCAAAGCTCAATCTGATGTGTCACGTGGTATGGTAGCAATAAATAAATAAAATTTTGTATGGTGTGTTTTTTAGGAGCAAATCAAAATTTACACATCCGTATATTCAAATAAAACACACTGGCATATTTACACACACTGTATCTTCTAATTACTTGTTGATATAAACATGTAAGAAAGATGATGTTGTCAGAGAAGCCCAGCTCTGACTTCCCCTCTCATCTGTGTGGTCGAGGTTTGAGTTTCCTCTCACAGTACGAGATGTGTGAATGATCACTATAGCAGATATTATTCATCTGGATCAGATCATGAAGATCATACAGCTGCAGATCTGTGAGTTTCTCATGACACATTTCATTAAATCAGTTTTCTTTTGATTTTATATCTTAATAAATGTGTATTTCTTTCTGTCATAGATCTGTTCATGTTGTATCAAGCCTCAGAGAGTCTAACAAACACACCAGTAACTTTAGGATCTGATGTGATTATAACCTGTGATCTTGATATAAAGAAGATTTCTTGGTACAAACTGAAATTACCGGATCCTCTAGTGTTCATCGTACGCACTCATAATAGCACATATGAAGGAGGTGAATATGAAAACATCGCCTATAAACACAAATACTCAGTGAAAAATAACAGTCGTCTGTTCATCAAGAATATCACCATTGATGAATTAGGAGTTTATTATTGTATGAAAAATAGTCATCCACTAAAAATCAGCAACGGCACCAAAATCTACATCAGCGGTGAGTTATTTTATCATTTCATGTCTTTATAAACCACTTGATGGAGTCCTTATTTAATATACTGTATGAAGAACTAATACTAGTTTAATTGTTCTGTTAAAGACTGAAACTGAAAGATTGAACTATAAACCTTTTACAGACTTTGTCCAAAATAATTTTACAGACTCGGTCGACAGGAATCAGACAGAAGACGCTCCACAACAGCAGATACCATGGAGAAATATGACCATCATATCTGTCCTGCTGAATGTGCTTCTGATCATTGCATTAATAGGTTTGTTCATGTTTTACAGTAAAAGTGTCAGTGAACTACAAGGAGACGAACTCTAGATCTACACAAATGTAGCCGGTTCACACAGAACGTGTTTTTCTATTCCACTGCGATACTTTTGCATTGTTTTTCTGTAAACACACACTAAACTCATTTAACTGTTGCGCTCACGTCTGTCTTCTTTTTCAGCGTCTCGTGCGAGACATGCCGTTCTTAAAGTTCCTCAAAAAAGTTAAACTTTTAAGAAACTTTTTTCGTTCCCCAGGCCTGAATCTCACATTTTTCACAGTAAAACACATTCTCTGTGAATCGGCTCTTGGACTGTAATGTGTGAATTCAGTGATGTTTCATATTCAGTGTGTTTCAGGTTTGCTGAAGATTTTAATTGATGCAACTGGAAAATCTGCTGCTCAAAACTCGAATAATCCACAGGTGAGATGCATCTTCAATATTAATATATGTTATCTTATTATTTCCTCTATTATCCTGATTCTTACAGTGAAACTTCAAACACAAGATTCATTAAATGATCTGAAATGTGTGACCAGCTGACTGTTCATTATGTCTAATATACTGTATATGGTCGTTCATATATAATATGGTCCTCTTTCAGTGTGCTGAAGATGATTTCTTCATGTGCTCCAGAAACACCAGACCTAGTCAGGAGCAGACCACTACTGTCTACAGACAATGTACCATGTGATACACGTTAGGAATATAAAGTGTACCTACATATATATATTTTTTTACAATCTAAAATTTACCGTTATTATGTTTTAAATATGTGGATTTTAATTTCCATTTCCATTCATGAGTTTTCTGCTTTGTATGTAAATATGCAGTGTGTATGATAGTAACACTTTATTCTGGTGCTGCTTTAAGTGGAGAACCTGCTTATATACTGTATAATAATATAATCGTTTTCTTCTCTATGTTATGAATGCTCTGACATGCTCAGCAGTAAAAGTTATAAACCACAAAAGCTTTCTTGGGGCTGAAACATGAAATCATTTTTGAAATCATGACATTTTCTGCTAGTTTATTTTTTGACAGAGATTTGACAATGCTTGAAGTCAAGAAAACAAATGTCAGTAAATGAAGATATTTTTGGCATGCCTATTAATTTTTGTAAATATTTTTCAAATATTTAAAAATATCTGACTTCTGCTCTCTGTTTTTGTGGTTAACACAAGCATGGTTTCGTGCAAATGAAGTTTTCCACTGGTTTGGTCACTTGATGAACAACACGATCACACACACACTTGCAGGCATCAAGCGGTTTCAACTTTAACCAAATGAACATGACATGAAACACCATGATAACTCTTTACAATTATGTGCTATTTGTTAAACCTAACCATCAAGAACTAGCAATAATAAAAAAGAAATACTTCAACAGCAGTTATTAATTTTAGTTCATGCTCATTAAATTTTTATTGAAGTTTATTGAAGTAGATAATTAAAAACACAAGCTGTACCTGTTAATATATTTAATGAACCCGAGCTAACGTGAACTAACAATGAACAGCTGAAATTGTACTAACATTAAGAACTAAACAAAGATTATTAAATTGTATAACAAATGTTAGAAATAAGTCTCACACTTCTTATAATTTTAAAAAGAAAAGTACTAGGCAAAAGAAATTCAATCCAAATTAATTAAAATACATACAGTACTCACTTGTATTGAGGATAAATATTGTTAGTTGTAATATTAAGAGACAGACAAAACCTCATATACTGAGTTAATAATCATGAGTTTGAACGAGAATAGTTAAAGAAAACTTCATATTTGTGTTTGAAAGGCCATGAAAAAAAGAAAAGAAAATTGGTCTGTTCTCAGTGTCTTGAGTCCTTTTCCTGCCAGTGAATTAAAGATAAATATTTTTTTAAAGACAATAAATGATGTAAAGATCAAGGTTTGAGTTTTGAACAAATAGACAACAGAACTAAACCAGAGCAAACCTGCCTTTGACTTCCTCTTGACTGCGGTTAGATCAGAATATAGGTAACGGTACATCTCTACAGTCGTGTGAAAGAAACAAGACTCACGCTGAAGTGTGTTAACATCATGAAGATTGTGCAGCTTCATCTCTGTGAGTTCATGTACTTTATCAATATCTGAATCTTCTTTATAAGATAATTTATAATGTTTAATGACATGATAATAATCCATATTATGTGTGTGTGGTGTTTATTTCACAGATCTGCTCATATGGTGTGAAGCTGCGGAGACTTTAACTGATCAACTAACAGATTTGGGTCTAAATGTGTCTATAAACTGTGATTTTGATGTGAAGGAGGTTTATTGGCTTTTACAGAAACTTCCAGATTCTCCGGTTGTCATATTACTCTCTTCCACAACGTCATCTACTCATCACTACAGTAAAGCTTTTAGGCAGAAATATTCAGTGCAGAGTAATCATCGCCTGTTCATAAATAATGTCACTATTGATGATTTAGGACTTTATTACTGTGTGACCAAAGACGTTCCTCCAAAATACAGCGACGGCACCAGAATACACATCAGCGGTGAGTGAACATTCAGTGATCATCAAGCTAAACACTTAATCTCTGTTACACAAATACATATTCAATATTAATATTAAACCCCTTTAATGAATACACAGAACCAACTCCGACTGCAGAGATCCAGAATCAGACAGCGGTGAAGATCATTGAGAGGAATCAGACACATTGGCAGATTATTATCCTCATATCTGCTCTGTTGAACGCTGTTCTGATCATTGTGATCATAGGTGAGATCTTTAGTGAAATTATACATGTATGTCTCCAAACGTGAATTCTCACTATAATATCAGTGTGCTATTTTACATTTTATAAAATATATTTTAACAGCTCTTGCAGTTACAGCTCTTTATAGTCACTACAAATGTTATGTTACAGAAAAAAGAAAACCATAAAAAATCTGGGTGATTAAACAATGTTTTCGTCTGAGCGAGTAATTTAATGTTAAATCTGATTTCATTTTAAGGACTCTTAAAGATGTTTGTTCATGCAAGAAATGAAGACGACATGAAACAATTTCACAGTACAGACCGACGAAATCTTCAAGATATGGATTTCGAACCTCAAGACTCAACACAAACACTGATATGTTACATGAAAATATAAAGTAACACAATATGTCTTTGTCACAGAGCACTCAGCGATGCCTCCTCCTGGTTGCATCAAATCCCTCTCTCATGTGTACTAGGACTACATTTCCCATGATCCTTCCCTGCTCATCATCTCTTGATTATCCCCGGGCCGATTATCCCCATCAGCTCCCCTTTATCTGGACTGTTCTGTTCATTGTAATTTTTTGAAGTCTTGATTGACCGACTCTATCTCTGACCTGTTTTCTCATGCTTGCTTGTGTATTTTGACTTGGACTCTAAACTAGTTTCTGAACTTCAGCCACGACCCCTGACCTCTTCCTGTTTAAACTACTATTCTTGGATTGCCCTTGTCTGTGAGCTGTTTTTGAGTTTTATGTCTGCTGTTTTATGCTGGCTCACCTGTATTAATAAATTACTGCAGATGGATTCAATCGCCTCAGTATCTATGTCACAGTCTTCTTCAATATGGTTACAATTATGCATATGTTAATGTTATACTACAGGGCTGTTGAATGCTTGATTCTGATTGGTTGAGAATGTGCAAGGTGTGCAATTATTTTCAGGGAAACGCACGGCTAAAGTAGTTTCAGGCAGGTTTGACCGCAGCACAGTTCCATATCACTGCTCGGTTAACTGTAATAACGGAAAATAGGACACAATTCATAACAAGAAAAAAACATGCAGCACCATGCGCTTGATCTGCAACTTCACAATCAATGGACACATACAGTTTAATTGAATAAATAAATTATGTAGTCCTATCTATAGGCTATATAAATAAATTGATAGTCCTGCTGCCTGGATTTTCTTAATTATTCCAGATAAAATAACAAATAAATAATTATTGATAGGCCTACTTGTTAAAAGGGCTTTGTGTGTTTCATTTATTGGGTCATCTACTGTCAATTATAGAAAACAAGAGTGAGTGAACGAATTAATTAAAACGAATTTAATTAATAAATAAATAATAATATTGACACACATGCTTTTCTGTCTCATTATTTCAACATCTCTCTCTCCCTCTCTCTCTCTTCCTCTCTCTAATAACTGCATTAATAACTGCATAAAGCCGGGACACACTTAAGGCCTACTAAGGCCAGTTATGAATGTAATTTGATACTTATGACTGATCATGCCCAAACACGTGTTCAGCGCGTTCAGTCTGTGTTCACAGTTGGTGTTTAATAAGACCTGCTACAGTCGATGGAAACAGTCGGTCTTCGAATATTTCAGCAAGTCGTAAGTGTGTCCCCCATCGTCTGCTATCAATGTCTCCAACTCCGACTCGCGTCTTGACCGCATTACCACCTCGGGTGTGCATTATTTTTCTAATAATTCAACAGCCTGTGGTCAACAAGAGTGCACCTCAAAAAACCTCAAATCTCAATAAATAAATAAATATTTTGTAAAATGTATATTTTATATAAAATAAAAAATATACAGTATAGTATATTTGATTTACTGTAAATTTAAACTTCCATAACTTTGTTTTCACTTCAGCAATAATCTGCTGAGTGTTTTCTTTCAGACAAGACCAAACTTGGGAATATATTCCAAAGCATTCTTGAATTAAAACCATTTAAGTTTGAATAATGGATTTTAACCCCCATCCTCAAAAAGGGGGGTGACAGCTATGCGCTAAAGTTACAATGTTCAGTAGTCTTGATCGAACTCATTTGTTTTGTTTTTGTTTTTTTCATAGAGGACATAAAGACAATTGCTTTAGTAAAAACAAATGAAAAGATTATTTTCATTTCTACAAATTCTCATTATTTTAACACATATATTTTAATACATACATATTCATATAAAGAGTGGTTCATGTAGGGTTGTTGTGGGGTAGGGTATGTTGGTGGTTCAATTGCCAGTTCCACCTGACCAAGTGTCGAGGTGTCCATGAGCAAGACACCTAACTCCAGCTGCTCATGACGAGCTGGGTGACGTCTTACATGGCTGACACCGCCGTGAGTTAGTGAATGTTTGGCAATATGTAAAGCGCTTTTGGTGGCCTTTGGGTCTGTGAAAGTGCTATATAAATGCAGTCCATGTACCATATATATATTTTCAAATATTTATTTGTTTATTTATAAAGTTTTATCAAGCTAAAGGAGATTTTAAAGGTTCTCTAAGCGATGTGGGGCCAAAACATTTTTTGTCACATACATCAAACGTCTCCTCACTATCGGCTCGCTGCCTGTCCCCTAAACACACTGTAAAAAAACGCGGTCTCTGTAGACACCACAGGCTCCACAAACGGCAACAAAAACAATCATGTCTCACCCGGACCACGAACCCTAACAAACAATGTTCCAGCCAATCACTGACAAGAAGTGTCTGAGGGTGGGTCTGGGGGGTTAGTGCGCGTGCACATGAAGGGGGTGTGTGTGTGTGAAGAAGAGAGAAACATAAGAGGGAAGTTTGAAAAATGGCCGACACACAACCAAAGAGACGTCGTTCTGAAGAACAAATTAAAAAGAAGAAGGAGTCGGATAAAGAACGTGCGAAGTTACGAATTTACATCGGTAGCAAAGCTTTTGAACGATGGCGAGAACTCCGGCGGCAGAAGGGCTTCCAGTCCGACATTCAGGTTGCTCTGTTTTTGCTGGACAGGTGGGTAACGTTAAATTGTTTTTTTTTTCTTCTAAATTGACGCGTATGTTCGCCAAACCCACACAAGGATATAATTAGCTAGAACTATGCAGTCAGCGAAATGCACGTTCACAATTATTTCAGGAAGCACGGAAGGGAGGGGGAGGAGATGAGATGCGGAGGAGGAAGGGTCTAGCTAGCCTCCGATTGGTTTGAAAATATTCCAAACGTCAACACCCAGGATCGCTTAGACAACTTTTAAAATAATTATTTTGCCACAATGGCGCTCCTATGCACTGTGTGATGTATCTATTCGAAAAAATTCACGTGAGACAGAATGAATGTCTTTGGACCACAACTTTACTCTGTATTTTTTATTCTGCTCAGTAACGCGCCCCCGAACATTTCCGAACATTCCCAGCATTTCAGCTACAGAATCTCTCCTGTCTCAAATGCAAAACTTGCTAGAATACAATACATCACATTACCCTCCTTTTAAAGATGCCATCTTGCACATAAAATAAAATCATATTCCATACCAGATGGGGGCAGTATACCTCCAGAAAGTGAGTTGTGCCGCGGCCGCGCGCACTCTCACGTCTTCAAACAACACAAACGAGCGCTGTTTTGCTCTCTCTTTCTCTCGCATATTATTCAAATCATTTGACACGATAGTAAAAGGTTGGAAGACCGCAGTTTCACGTGGAGCATTTGGAGATTTTTAGAGATCAGAGACTCAATGAACAACATCTCAACACTAAATGATGAAGACCGCCTCGTAGTCTTCATCATGACCATCTCATGATGAAGACTGTCTCAAAAACATTTGATTGCATTTGCAAACATTTGAAACACTGGTGCATTTCGACGATATGGGAAAATAAAAGCCTGGGCTATTATTTTAAGTTTACGGTATTCGTTTTGTTCATATTACACTTTTGTTGTTAGTGAATTAATTTGACAGACAGCATTCGCTGATGTTGATCAAGCTAGCGCCGTGAATTCACCGTGAGACACACGCAATTGACACTTAGCAAGCAGGTTAGTTAAGCTGAGTTAAGCTCTCAGATTCTGTTAATTTTATTACGCAATTCAAAGAATAAATACCGTTTTGGCGCTTGTAAATGTTACACCACAGATCCCTAGCGCACGTGAACCGATCATCTCTACTAGCTGGAAAAAGAACACGAACACTGTTGAAAGATACGGTATGCTACAACTTACCAAAATGTATTCCTCACGCATAATGTCGACCAATCAGTTTTTTCAACTCTTCCCTGAACTGAAATGTAGTAATGGGCTGTATTTCCACACGACTGACATCAGGTTCAAGTACACACAAGCCGGCGCGGCTTACTTGTGTACTGCAGTTTGGCTGGTGGTAATGTTGCCCGCCTGCATACCGCCTCCCATGGCCGAAACTGGTATTACGACACCTGCCGGGCCGGGGCTAGTAATTTAGCATGCTAATTTAGGTTTATATCTCTGCAGCACTATAACTTGTCATTTTTTTAATGACATCATTGCACTTATTTCTTCTCATTATTTTGATGCGTGTAGCTCATTTTTTTTGGGATATTTTTACCTCAAATATTACATATAGCACCTTTAAATAAAGGTACATTGAGATTCAACCTGAAACCCGCACATGGCACGAAACATTATTGGCTTTACCAACAACATAAAAGAACAAAATAAGCATTGTATTTATATATATAAGACCATAACAGTCCTATACCGTAGTGCTCTTGCAATGGGTGTATGTTTCATGTATTACAGGTCAAAACGTTTTGGTGGTTTTGTACTTCTGGATGAGTGGCGTGGACTCTGAGCCACTGCTGTAACCCCTCCACAGCCCTCTTGAGAAGGATCAGGAACGGCTTGTTTTTCCTCCTCTGGTGTACAGGGTTGAATCGACGTGTCAGTCCCTGAACAGTCAGTTTCTTTAACAAGCTCATCCTCTACAACCCGAGATCTCACCTGGTCGCCATGTCTCCTGAAAGTGACATCTGTGTCTCGTCCCTGAACCTTGTGAGACACCTGAGGCAGTCAGGTTAGCCGCTAATGCAGCTAGAATTAGAATTAGCCGGCACACGTTGATGAACGCGGGCCAGCAAGCGACTAACCGACAAGGTGCCCAAGTGGCTGTCCAGAGGTAGAGGTACAGTGAACACAAACAAAACAGGAACACAAGAAGGAATAGCAGGCAGAGAAGCGCGAACAAACAGCTCCAGCGTTAACATTGTTAACATTAGATGATATTATATTACGATGGTTATATAAAGTTATATGTTTTTTGAGGAGCAAATCAAAATTCACATATTTGTGTATTCAAATTAAACACACTGGCATATTAACACAAACTATATCTTCTAATTACTTGTTGATTGAAACATAAGAATGATGATGTTGTCAGAAAAGCCCAGCTGACTTCCCCTCTCGTCTGTGTGGTCGAGGTGTTTCCTCTCACAGTACGAGATGTGTGAATGATCACTATAGCAGATATTATTCATCTGGATCAGATCATGAAGATCATACAGCTGCAGATCTGTGAGTTTCTCATGACACATTTGATTAAATCAGTTTAATTTTGATTTTATATCTTAATAAATGTGTATTTCTTTCTGTCATAGATCTGTTCATGTTGTATCAAGCCTCAGAGAGTCTAACAAACACACCAGTAACTTTAGGATCTGATGTGAATATAACCTGTGATCTTGATATAGAGGAGATTTACTGGTACAAACTGAAATTACCGGATCCTCCAGTGTTGATTTTACGCACTTTCAGCAACACATATGAAGGAGGTAAATATGAAAACATCGCCTATAAACACAAATACTCAGTGAAAACTAACAGTCGTCTGTTCATCAAGAATATCACCATTGATGAATTAGGAGTTTATTATTGTGTGAAAACTAGTGAACCACCAAAAATCAGCAACGGCACCAAAATCTACATCAGCGGTGAGTTATTTTATCATTTCATGTCTTTATAAACCACATGATGGAGTCCATATTGAATATACTGTATGAAGATCTAATAATAGTTTAATTGTTCTGTTAAAGATTGAAACTGAAAGATTGAACTATAAACTTTTACAGACTTTGTCCAAAAGAATATTACAGACTCGGTCGACAGGAATCAGACAGAAGACGCTCCACAACAGCAGATACCATGGAGAAATATGACCATCTTATCTGTCCTCCTGAATGTGCTTCTGATCATTGCATTAATAGGTTTGTTAATGTTTAACAGTAAATGTGTCAGTGAACTACAAGGAGACGAACTCTAGATCTACACAAATGTAGCCGGTTCACACAGAATGTGTTTTTCTATTCCACTGCGATACTTTTGCATTTTTTTTTTTACACTAAACTCATTTAACTGTTGCGCTCACGTCTGTCTTCTTTTTCAGCGTCTCGTGCGAGACATGCCGTTCTTAAAGTTCCTCAAAAAAGTTAAACTTTTAAGAAACTTTTTTCGTTCCCCAGAATCTCACATTTTTCACAGTAAAACACGTTCTCAGTGAATCGGCTCTTGGACTGTAATGTGTGAATTCAGTGATGTTTCATATTCAGTGTGTTTCAGGTTTGATGAAGTTTTTAATTGATGCAACTGGAAAATCTGCTGCTCAAAACTCGAATAATCCACAGGTGAGATGCATCTTCAATATTAATATATGTTATCTTATTATTTCCTCTATTATCCTGATTCTTACAGTGAAACTTCAAACACAAGATTCATTAAATGATCTGAAATGTTTATGACCAGCTGACTGTTCATTATGTCTAATATACTGTACATGGTCGTTCATATATAATATGGTCCTCTTTCAGTGTGCTGAAGATGATTTCTTCATGTGCTCCAGAAACACCAGACCTAGTCAGGAGCAGACCACTACTGTCTACAGACAATGTACCATGTGATACACGTTAGGAATATAAAGTGTCCCTACATAGTGTACATTTTTTCTTTTTTTTTTTTACAATCAAAAATTTACCGTTATTATGTTTTAAATATGTGGATTTTAATTTTCATTTCCATTCATGAGTTTTCTGCTTTGTATGTAAATATGCAGTGTGTATGATAGTAACACTTTATTCTGGTGCTGTTTTAAGTGGAGATCCTGCTTATATACTGTATAATAATATAATAATTTTATTCTCTCTGTTATGAATGCGCTGAAATGCTCAGCAGTAAAAGTTATAAACCACAAAAGCTTTCTTGGGGCTGAAACATGAAATCATTTTTGAAATCATGACATTTTCTGATAGTTTTTTTGTTTTACAGAGATTTGACAACGCTTGAAGTCAAGAAAACAAATGTCAGTAAATGAAGATATTTTTTACATGCCTATTAATTTTTGTAAATATTTTTCACATATTTAAAAATATCTGACTTCTGCTCTCTGCTTTTGTGGTTAACACAAGCATGGTTTCGTGCAAATGAAGTTTTCCACTGGTTTGGTCACTTGATGAACAACACGATCACACACACTTGCAGGCATCAAGCGGTTTCAACTTTAACCAAATGAACATGACATGAAACACCATGATAACTCTTTACAATTATGTGCTATTTGTTAAACTTAACCATCAAGAACTAACAATAATAAAAAAGAAATACTTCAACAGCAGTTATTAATTTTAGTTCATGCTCATTAAATTTTTATTGAAGTTTATTGAAGTAGATAATTAAAAACACAAGCTGTACCTGTTAATATATTTAATGAACCCGAACTAACGTGAACTAACAATGAACAGCTGAAAATGTACTAACATTAAGAACTAAACAAAGATTATTAAATTGTATAACAAATGTTAGAAATAAGTCTCACACTTCTTATAATTTTAAAAAGAAAAGTACTAGGCAAAAGAAATTCTGTCATGATTCTGCCTTCTTGTCTTTGATATTCTCTAGTCGTGAGGCAGGATCATGACAGAATCATGTTTTGTGTGCAAGCGCATGGCCAGTTTGGGCCATGTGCTTGTGTTGTCTCGTTACGTTACCCCGCCCCCTTGTTATCCTAGTCTTGTGATTATTGTCTAGTAAGTTTCACCTGTCCTTGTCATTAGTGTTCCCTTTATAATCCCCTTGTGTTTGCTGTCTTGTGTCGGTTCATTGCTAAATGTTACCTGTGAGTAGTCTGTGAAAAGCATTGTCATTGTTAGTATTATACAAAGTGTTGTTGGTTTCTTGTTCAGTCATTTTCTAGTCTTGTCAGTCTTATTTCCCTTGTTTCGTCTGTTTTGCCCCCTCGTGGGTTTTGTTTTCCTGTTTTGTCCTAATAAACCCTGAGTTCATTGTACACTGTCTGCGTTTGGGTTCATCTCCGTGCACAGCCGTGACAGAATGAACCGACCAGAACCGAACCCAGCAGACAGTATGTCCTCGCCCATCAAGTGCCAGTCGGACCCTCTAGAAGATTGGTGGCTCAGGACTATCTCCGATTCACGGAGTGGCAAGCTTTCGATTCCCTCCCAGGGAGAGCTGTCTTTGAACGAGTATGCCCGGGTTGTGGATGAGGGGAGGTGTCTCTTACCTGAACGCCTCTTAAATTGCTACCTTATTGCGGGTCTCAATGATCCTCCTCCTCTTGCTGAACGGGAGAAGCTGGCCCGTCGTCCGTTCCGGGATATGGTGGTCTGTTTGTCGCGGAAAGACCCGCCGAGTGCCACCGTGTCGCCATCACCTGGCTTGCTCCCCGTGATCCCGGAGGGTCGCGTTCTCGCCGTGGCTACGGTGGGGGACCGGACTCTTCCCACCTCGACTCCCGAGGCGTCATCCACTGTTACAACTCTTCGCGGAAAGCGGGGAAGACGGCTGTCGTGGGAGTCGGCGTCTGAGTCCTCTTCGACAGAGTCTACACTTCCTGGGACCGTCTTCCCAGAGCCTGCTACGGTCCCCGCGGAGATCCTTCAACTGGTCACTAGTCCAACTACGGTCTCGGTACCGCGACCTAGGAGAAAGAAGAGGAGGAGGGGAGCGCCCTGTCCTTCGTCTCTGCCTGGTATAGAGCCCGCTGCAGCAGTGGATGTCCCAGAGTCCGCTGCAGCTGTGAACGTTATTCCTGAAGCTACAGTTGTAAGCGCTGCAGAGAGGGCCGAGGCCGATTTAGCTGCTGAAAGTGTTTTGCGGTCTGTTTCTGCTCGTCAAGACATGCCTGTCCGCGATGCCGCTGAGGTTTTGTCAGAATACTTAAAGACCCTTGTCAAGATCCTTGAAGTCCCTGTCAGTCCTGTCAATTTGCCCTGTCCCGAGTCCACAACTGCAGTGAGCGCCGTACCCCAGACTGCAGCTGAGAACACCGCTCCCAAGTCTTCTTCGATGAGCTCTGTCCCAGTTTCCCCTCTACGATCTCCTACTACACTCCCCGTCATGAGTCCTGCTTTGTCTCCTTCGTTCGATGTACCCCCAGTTGCTATCCCTGTTGTGACTTCCACTGTTCCCAAGACCCCGTGTGTTTCCCCGGTCAGCCCTGTCTGCGCTCAACCCTGGACTGTTTCCCCGATTGTTCCTGTCTCCACTAGATCCCAGACTTCTAAGTCTTCTCCTCGTGTGTCTCCGTCCAAGCCAGCCCAGAGTCCTCGTCCCCAGTCTTCCTCCCAGTCAACCAGGATCCCTTGCCCATCGACTCACCCGGAACTTCCCATCACAAACTCTGGCATGCCCCCCATGAACTTTGTGTTTCCTCCACCCCCTCTACCCTGTATGATGTTTTTGATGTTCCACCCCAACCCTGTCGTTGTGTATTCTTGTATGCCTTTGTTAGTTTTTGCCATGTACTGTTGGTTTGTGTCTGTGTCACAGTCTGTCATGTCCCGTGTTTAATGTCCCCTTGAGGAGCGTCTGGAAGCCGCTCCTTAAGGTGGGGGTTCTGTCATGATTCTGCCTTCTTGTCTTTGATATTCTCTAGTCGTGAGGCAGGATCATGACAGAATCATGTTTTGTGTGCAAGCGCATGGCCAGTTTGGGCCATGTGCTTGTGTTGTCTCGTTACGTTACCCCGCCCCCTTGTTATCCTAGTCTTGTGATTATTGTCTAGTCAGTTTCACCTGTCCTTGTCATTAGTGTTCCCTTTATAATCCCCTTGTGTTTGCTGTCTTGTGTCGGTTCATTGCTAAATGTTACCTGTGAGTAGTCTGTGAAAAGCATTGTCATTGTTAGTATTATACAAAGTGTTGTTGGTTTCTTGTTCAGTCATTTTCTAGTCTTGTCAGTCTTATTTCCCTTGTTTCGTCTGTTTTGCCCCCTCGTGGGTTTTGTTTTCCTGTTTTGTCCTAATAAACCCTGAGTTCATTGTACACTGTCTGCGTTTGGGTTCATCTCCGTGCACAGCCGTGACAAATTCAATCCAGATTAATTAAAATACATACAGTACTCACTTGTATTGAGGATAAATATTGTTTATGGTTGTAATATTAAAAGACAGAAACTAAAAACCTCATCTACGCTGAGTTAATAATCATGAGTTAGAACGAGAATAGTTGAAGAAAACTTCATATTTGTGTTTGAAAGGCCATGAAAAAAAGAAAAGAAAATTGGGCTGTTCTCAGTGTCTTGAGTCCTTTTCCTGCCAGTGAATTAAAGATAAATATTTTTTTAAAGACAATAAATGATGTAAAGATCAAGGTTTGAGTTTTGAACAAATAGACAACAGAACTAAACCAGAGCAAACCTGCCTTTGACTTCCTCTTGACTGCGGTTAGATCAGAATATAGGTAACGGTACATCTCTACAGTCGTGTGAAAGAAACAAGACTCACGCTGAAGTGTGTTAACATCATGAAGATTGTGCAGCTTCACCTCTGTGAGTTCATGTACTTTATCAATATCTGAATGTTCTTTACAAGATAATTTATAATGTTTAATGACATGATAATAATCCATATTTAGCGTGTCTGTTGTGTTTATTTCGCAGATCTGCTCATATGGTGTGAAGCTGCGGAGACTTTAACTGATCAACTAACAGATTTGGGTCTAAATGTGTCTATAAACTGTGATTTTGATGTAAAGGAGGTTTACTGGCTTTTACAGAAACTTCCAGATTCTCCGGTTGGCATATTAATCTCTTCCACAACGTCATCTATTCATCACTACAGTAAAGCTTTTAGGCAGAAATATTCAGTGCAGAGTAATCATCGCCTGTTCATAAATAATGTCACTATTGATGATTTAGGACTTTATTACTGTGTGACCAAAGACGGTCCTCCAAAATACAGCGACGGCACCAGAAT